TTTCTAATTAAATGTAAGTTTTGTGTTCAATAAATATAAATTAATTATTTGTAAGTGAGAATAGTCAGAATTACTCGGACCTATCTGATCATTTTTTTGGCTCTTCTTTTGATTTTCTGTATGTTTTATTTGGTTCCTCTATGGAATTTTACAATTTGGCCGGCTCTCTGGATTCAACTGCTGTAAATTAATTATTCATAAATGGGAATGATCTGAATTATTTAAAAAGTTATCTGATCTTTTTTTTTATTCTTTTTATTTTATGTATGCTTTATTTGATTTGCTCTTTGAAATTTTCTAATTTGGCTTCCTTAAAAATAATCTGGCTATTTTTTTTGTTTTTTAAATATTTTTGCATTATTTGGATATTTTTTTTGGTTCATTTGATTTGGATCTAACGGTCATCAGAATCGAGTGTTTCCCGGGTTCAAAATACTCGATTTTTACCCTGTTCGCTGGTTGGTGCTGGTGCTGGTTTAGGCTGACTGGTGCTGATTTTTTTAGAGAAAAACACTGTTTACCGATTGAATAAGTCTGACAAAACCGATAAGCAAACATGTTGTTTGGTTTCTGCCGTCAATCGAGTGTTCGTGCCCTATCCATCACTCGGGTGTCCATGCACCTAGAAACATGCGACTGCTGATTAGACAGACCCAAAATATATATAGTAACATAAGAGTAATGTTTGATGGGCTATAAGTACGTCTGCTACAAATATATAGATTAACCTGCAGTGCAATGTCTATGGGATACTAGCAAAAAGAGTTGTAGCAGTACTGGTGTGCAACAAGGCATGACAACCATATCTTCAATTTCCAGGGAAGTGCTCGGTAATGAACTTTGCAGCCCAGTTCAGCTTGTGAGCAAAAGACAGAGAACAAAAGGCTCTAGCTTTGCTTGGACGGTCAACAAGATGCTCATGGTAAAATGGCAGATGGGTATCATCAAAGCCTGAAAGACTACAAACAACATCATACAGACCTTCAGGAAGTTTGTCGGGCATTCTAGCCTTCTCTATAGCACAAAAGATTCTTTCCCTAACTTCTTTTATTGCCTGTATGAGTCCATCATCTTTCCTCTCCTTTTCAGTTATCTTTGCTCTTTTTTAAGGCCTGGCAGCAAGAGCAGTAACACCATTCGCACCATCTTCACCTTGTTCATTTTCACCAATTCCGGTTGCTAGAGGCTCATTTGATCTCTTTACATACTTCCCTATGGCTACAACCCGTTCGGCTTACCTTATATCCGACTTGTTTGGCTTCTTTTTTCAGCCAAAACAGTGTTTTTCTCTCATAATATTTCAGCCAGAACAGTGTTTTTCAGCTAATTTCAGCCAAGATTCAGCAAGCCGAACGGGGAATAGCACCAAAGATAGTAGCCATCTCACCATAGTGCTCAATAGGCTTGTTGAAGAATTCCGCATCAGCTTTATGGTCCTTGCATTGTAATATATGGACAAACTATTAGACCAACTAGAAGAAAAACTAGAAGATAATATTGAAATAAAAATTGTGGCACCAAGGGTACCACAATATAGCTTGTATAATGCTCATGATCAAGTGAAATCACATAGTTGACTTCGTCCTAAAGAGAAGCACCTAAACTCCTGAGTTTGTTGATTTTCACATACTTCCTCCTCTTTGTTCTAAGATGATTACTAATCTGCTCTCCAATCCTCTTGCACTTGAAAGGGTCATTCAAAGCCTTGGAACAAGAGTTCAAATGGGTCTTCTTGAAACCCGATGATGTTTTGCCACTAGCCACTACATTGGCAAGGTAAGTAAGCATGAATGAAGACATTGTAGAAGGCCAAGTGACACGGCCAAAACATATGTAAACCGAAGATCAAAATCTATGGCCGCCCTTAGCAGAGAGCAGGAGTGGCGAGAGAGGAGTATGTAGGGGAATGGTGACGGTGAAGATAAGGACGGAAGGTGAGGAAAATCTACGTGCGCTCCTGCGCGTCCGGGCCGACCGCGGATAAGCTTGTCCGCTCGTTTTCTGGTGGCCGGGATATACAACATCTAAGGGGAATATACCATGTCCTGGATATCCATACCCAGCTTATCCATAGAACCAAATAACCCTCGTCCAGGATATCCCTATCCCATCCTTAGATATTTCATGAACCAAACACACCCTTATTGATGCGGACCAGACGCTTAATTTGGGGAGCAACTGCTTCCTGTGCTAAACTAGCTTGGTTAGTTGGTTGCTGGTTTTTCTCTGAGTCTTTTACCTGTGTGTCTTCATAAAAATGATCCTAACCTAAATGCCACTTAAAAGTTAACGTAGGTACTACTGCACCAATTTTTTTTTTCTTCCACGTCATTCCGTCTACTGTAGTCTCGGTGGGAGAAGTCCAAAATACCATTGCCTGATCGCGTGAGTGTGGAGGAGAGGCATCGGAGACGATGCCGACCGCCATGGCGTCCCAGATCGGGAGCAACCAGCGGCGCGGGCTTCTTGAGACGGTGCACCGAGCTCTGGGGCTGGATCCGAAGGCAAAGAGAAAGCTGGCGCCGGCTGCAGAAGGGGAGGGCGATTCAAGAGCTACGCGCGCATCTGTCATGGACGCCGACGGCATCGCTGCAGCCGCCACGGCGGGCTACGCCGCCCGAGCTCGAGGATGTCCGCGTCCGCCGCCTCAGCTACAGCCTTGAGCGCCCAGTATAAACACAGGTAAAAGACTCCTTTTCTTTGATCTTTGTACTTCCTCTTCATGGCTACTTCTGTTTCTCGTTGAAATTCTTACGTGGTTTAGATGATGTCCTGCTAATGCAGTATTTCTTTTCAGACAGTGCCTGCACCGTACCAATGCAACCGTGCACGTTCAGAGAGATTGTTAAGTTACAGCGTGTTTAGTTGTAGGAAGTTGGAATTTTGGGCTACTGTAGCATTTTCATTTTTATTTGGTAAATAGTGTTCAAACATGGATTAATTAGACTCAAAACGTTCGTTTCGTAATTTTCCACCAAACTGTGCAATTAGTTTTTTTTCGTCTATATTTAATACTCCATACACGGGTCGCAAACATTCGATGTGATGGGTACTGTAGCACTTTTTAGGATTTTAGGTTCAAACTAAACACGCGCTTATGCTGTTGTGTCTATATGGTCAGTGTGTTTGTTGAACCTGTTGCGCAGCTGACGCATTCTGGCTCATGTGCTTCAGTTGTGCATTCGGATTCTAGTGACGACTGAAGCTTGATGAATACATAGTACACACCACAAACTCCAGCTCTAATTGGCTGCCATTATAAGCCGGTTTCAGTTATGGTATAATATTTTTCTCTCCCAATAAATGAGTCGTATAAATCAGCACAAACGGCTTATAGACCAGTCGAACAGAGGCAAAGATTGGCTAAGCAAGTTTTTGTCCAGCCAATGAAGGTAAAATATTCTATTGCAAATGTTTTTAGAAAACTGGAGTTATTAGTCTGTGGATCAATTGCTGGTCAGCTAGATGGTGTTGCAAAATTGTTTTTATTGAAAATGCTAGTTAAGCTACAGGTTTATGCTGCCAAATTGGGGCCGATCAAGTCAGTCAGTCAGTTGTTGGGTTTTGAGAGCCGGGTACAGAAATCCCATCGAGCATTTGGAAAGTACAAGCATGTGAAGGGATGGTTTGGTGGCGAAATACACCAAGGGGAATGTTTCTAGTGCTTGTCGTTGGATCGATTTATCTCGTCTCCAAGGACAACGGTGTGGTTAGATGGGATGCAACGACATAGGGCAGTAACTGCACCACCTAGAGCAGTAAATTGCTGCAGCAGTACACATGTCCGTGACTTAAAAGCTCGATCGTAATTTACTGACTCTATTTCTTTTTTCTCTTCGTTTGAAATATTTCTCTTTAGTTTACCCTGAACTCTAATATCCAGCTGTTTGATGCTTCGTTCGTGGCCGGGTGTAGTATGCAGTGCAAAGTGCATGCATGTGATGTGCATTTGCTTCCAACTTGTGTACGTTAGTACGTAGTAGAGGCTAGCTATTAAAAAAGTCCCTCACAAATGAGGAACGGCCTTTTTCAGAGATTCCGAAACTCGTAGTATCTTCACAAAGGAAACATTAATGTTACTTGTACCCTCCATCCAGAAAAACATTAATGTTACTTACTTGTACCCCCTCCATCCAGAAAAACATTAATGTTACTTGTACCCCCTCCATCCAGAAAAACATTAATGTTACTTGTACCCCCTCCATCCAGAAAAACACACGAAAACATGCCTCAGTGACACGTTTTAGTATATCATATTTGATCAATTATAAATAAAAAATTATAAATATTTATAATATTAAATAAATATCGTTAAATCAAATATGAAATATATTTTTATAATAAATTAATTTAAAGTTATAAATATGAATATTATTCACTAAAATCTTGGTTAAACATGAGCAACTTTATGTGACACGCAACTTATAATTATATGTTTTTCTGAACAAAAGGGATCAGCTAGTTGCTGAATACCGTGAGCAGTTCAAAGGTGTATTGTCGCAAGCTTTTCCAAGCGTCAGTGAGGTTCAAATGTGAATCTGTGTCCCGAAAACCAAACAAAGAAGTGACAAATTAGTAATGTGAACACTTCCTAACAAAGACCACAGAAGCCAAATAGCTTATACAACCGTAGAAGCAGCATGCACACAACAGGTTTACCACAACACACATCACATCACATGTAGCATTATTCATGCCTGAAGAACATCACCACCACTAGTACAACCAGTCACCAACAGCTAAACACCACATGTCTCACATAGACAAAACTAATAATAAAGCAAACAACAAATGAAACATATCCAACTCTCCAATGCATGCAGGTAACTAAAAGCAGTACTAGAACAAGCTATAGCTAGCTAGAACACAAGAACTGCTCATATGTAGCTAGGGGAAACCAATGCAACCAACCAACCACGCACGCATGCATGCACGCACGGCGACGACGACGTACTAGAGCATCACTCTACTACGGCGCTGGCCCGACGGACGGACGGAGTTCAGGGCTTGTTGGCGTGCTCGGGGACGGAGCCGGTGGTGGGGGAGCCAGGCATGCCACCGAAGCCGCTGAAGCCCGGGGAGCCGCCGCCGAAGAGGGGCATGCTGCCGCTGCCGGGGAAGAACGACCCTGGGAGGCCGCCGCCGGGCAGGCTGAACCCGGGACTGCTGCTGCCGCCGGAGGTGCCGGGGAGGCCGCCGAACGCCGGGGACGCGCCGCCGCCGCCGAGGCGGTCGAAGGGCGGGAAGGTCTGCGGCTGCACCACCGCGTCGTTGTCCGCCTTCTTCTCCGCCGCCGCCGCCGCCGTCGTCGTCTTGATGTTCCTCGCCTCGGCGGTCGTCGCCACGGCCAGGGCCAGGGCTAGCAGAGCCGCCGCCGCCACCATCATCATCTTGGAAGACCTCGCCATCGCGCGCTAGCTAGCTCTCGGCTCTCTTCTTGCTTGCCTGCCTGCTCGCTCTTGCTCCCTAGCTCCTCGACTAAAAGTCTTTCTCTTGCTGCTGCTGTGGTGTGTGGTCGTGAGGAGAGAGAGGTGGCGAGGCAGGTGCTTTATAGCGGGGGAGGCGGGCGGGGCGGGGGGCATTGAAGGCGGCGCAGCGCAGCGAGCTCATCGGCCGGGTCGCATGCAGAGAGCCAGAGGGACGGACGGACGGAGCAAGGGCAGCAGCAGCAGCGACGGTAGGTTGGTGGGGGGCGTTAAGGGTGCGTTTGCGAGGGTGGCTCAGGCCGGCCTTGCGCTCGTGGGCTGCAGACTCCCGTGTTTACGGCCTTGGTCCGCGAGAGAGCGAGCCCGGCTCCCAGGAGTCAAATACGCCGCCGCCGCCTGGCCCTGGAGAAACGCCGCTAGGCTTCGTTTCTATGCGGCCAGGCTCGCGCGAGCGCAGCAAGCATGCGGACGGGACATGTCAGTGAGACAGCGGATGCTTACATGCAGTCAACCAAACGAAATCTCCGAACAGCCATGCTCTGTGAGTACGATAGCCAAACACCAGTCATGTGCATGCGCTCGGCCGGGTTACCTGCAGCCTGGCTGCCCAGGTACAGCCTGGCTGCCCAGGTACACCCTCGCAAACGCACCCTAAAGGATCGGAGAGGCCGGCTTAAAGGAGAGGCAGAGTACGTACACCTACCTCCTGCTGCTGCTCTTTACTGCGTGCCATCCTGTGAGTCTGTGACCGCCATTAAAATCTCCCCAGCACAGGTCACTTCACTTCACCACCCTTGCCCTTGCGTACGCATACGTATGCATGGAGCCATCAGCCATGGACATGGAGAGAGAGGACGAAGGAAAGGCCGGATTTCATTTTTTGACTCTCAGATCTCGATCGACGCGGTTGATGAATGCTGGTACGCAGGGGCGGATCTACAGCCCTGCAGCTGAAGCATCAATGAAAATATAGAGAGGACGAGGGAGAAGAAGAGGGGAAGGAAAAAAAAAATAGAGAGAGATAAAGAAGAAGAGACCAGCCCTCTTTAATCATATTCTGCCAGCTAGTTGTGCTGGGCCTGTGCAGCGCAAGCCTTTGAAATTGAAATTGAAATTGAAATGCAGTGAAAGCTTGCATCGGTATTTCTGGCAATTCTGCTAGCCCCGGCTGCATGCAATTGCAATGCATGGTGGGCGGTGACGGACGGGGGACCGGGCCGGTTACGGCAGCGGTAGTAATGGGCGTGGACGTGAGTGCGGTAATGCTATTCGCCATGACAGTTAGGCGTGCAAGTACGGCGCCGATCGGGTCGACCATCGTTTTTAATTTCTGCCAGATATATACCCTCAGGTTTGTCATTGCCACCTGCGCATGCACTTGGTAGGATATATATTATACACACACACACTTTCTGGGTCGTTTTACTGTTGGTAGGAGTGCGTACTAATAATAACTAGGATGCGGGCTGTGTGGCAGTGATAATATGCGTGTTTCATTTGCATGCATGGTGGCTCAAACTGAACTAAAACTGCACCTGATTTTCTTAAAAGGAAAGTAGTGTAACTAACCACTGCTTCTGTTGTGCGTAATTTACGAAGATAAGAAACAAGTACTCGCATAAATGATCGGCACTGTTGATGCATGCACGACAGATGGATCGGCCGGTGCACTCGCATGAACATTAAACAGATGTATGGTTTGCGGAACGGATGGTAGTCGTTGGTGACATAATGCTAGCTATGGGCACGGGCAACCTATATATATGCCCTAAGAGGAATAAAGGGGGATTACGACAGCACCTTATATATATATATATATATATATATATATATATATATATATAAACTACGGAGTAATAAATCGCTTCATCATGTCCTCTTATTAGAATGGTATGGAGTACTAGAATGTTTGGAGAAAATGATGACTTTATGTCTTATTATTGTGCCGAGCTAGTTTATTTTATATAGAGTCTACATAAAAAAAAAGTGACACTGCTCTTCCGATCCAGCAGCATGGAGTAATTGCATTCCTTCTGTTGTGACCCAACTAGTAGCAGCCTGTTCGTGAGACCGTATCGTATCGTGGATTATTTATTGTTGGCTGGTTTGGTGTGAGAGAAAAACACTATTCCCGGTTGGAAATTTACGTTCGTTTTTTCTCATGTTTTCTTCCCCGGAATGCCCGGATGATGCTATAAAAATCATGTACGTACTGAACTTTCTTCTATGCATGCAGGTGGAGGGCTTAACATATAAGTCCGCTCTCAACTTAACATTATCAGTCCACTCTTAGTAGAAGAGCATATAGATGTAATGTGTTGTTACAACGGTTTATAAACATCATTGGCCTCGTTCGTTTGTCTTATAATCCGTACTTTTCAGAGTGTTTCTCTCACAACAAATCAGCCGGAACAGTGTTTCGACTTGTTTTTTCAACGAAGCGAACGGGGCCACTGTAACCTCAATACTTACAATATATGTCAATCACTTAGATAGGATAATCACTTATGCATAATGGGAGGTGACCCTTTACTTATGGTCCAATTGTGCATTTTGTTTATATAAATGTGCACACATAAAGGAGAAAACAAACATGTTTCCATAATCAAGATTTGAGATCTCAATTTGTTCGATAATAATAGGCTGTCATTTCATCTTTATGCAGGCAAGATCTGAGGGAGGGCAAGCCTAAAGTAGGAAATCATCAAACTATATATGCTCCACATCTTATAGCATGACACATAATACTTATATGGAGCATCAAAATATACGCATAAACATTAGAACATAATTCATTAAATATAACCTTAGAAATTGTGTCAGGTTCATAAACCTAGGGTCCCTCGCAGACCGGCTTTCCAACAGAGGCTCGGCCCAAGCAGACACTGCGCAACTCGCGGCCCGGCCCAGGTACCTAAATGACAGGCAAGAAGGGCCACGTGCCCTCGAGGGAGATCTTGACCAGATCCGCAACGTTGCCCAGCTCGTCATTTCGGAAGTCTTTGGGTCGGCGCCAAGCACTAGCGCGCCCGCCGTCCGGGACCTTATCAGGAGCGGGCTGTTCTACGGAGCGTCGGGGGTGCTGACTTCGGTGGCGACGCACCACCCGAACCTGGACTTCGCTACTATCTGCAGTGGGTATGCTGAAGACTTGAGCATGGAGGACATCCTATCGATCGGGGAGAGCTTGCTGCCGCACGCAAGGTCGGTGGCAGAGCAAGTCTCTGCTGATTGGGTGATGGACATCCGTCGCGAAGACATGGCCAGAAGCATGCGTGGGGAGGATGCTGCCCAGTCTGCGGATGGCGCGGAGCCTGGGTCGGAGGTGAATGTCGCCCCGGATTCGACAGAGCCGAATGTCATGCCGCTGGGGAGTGAGCAATCCACGCCTTCGTCAGCCGCACCGACAGCAGATGCCGCCGAGCCGGTCCAATAGCTTATAAAATATAAGTAGTTTAGTGAGCGTAAAAAGTTTAAGTTCGTGGGCGAGCCCCTGTGTAAACGTTCCTGTGTGCTTAATGACTACGGTCTGTTTCGTTTTCTATAATGGAGTCACTTCGTTCGGGGAAGCTTGTTCCCCTTTTGTTCCTTAGTTTTTCCTTAGCACAATTTTGTTTTTTATTCTTTCTTTCTCGTAGCTGCCCGTTTGTCCCGTAGGCTACGACCTTGGGAGCCCGGGCGTGGTCCACGAGGCTCGGCTGCTCGTAACTGTAGGGAAAGGCGGGGTGCGATCGGTCGAAATGTTTTTAAAGCAAAGCTACGTAAGGCAAATTAATGGAACAAACTATCCTTTTGGGTGGGTAGGAAGGAATTTCACCATATGATAGTAAACAAAATAGAGAGATAGTAGTGTACCCTAGTGGAGGCCCCGAGCGCCCCGGGCCAAAAAAGTGTTCGGGTCGGGGTGCTTTTATTGGAGCATACGCTAAGTAAACAATGGTAAGACTGAAACTTAGGGGAAAAAGCGGCATAGCTGTTCCAAGCGTTTGTCGGTGTTTTGGACCGGCGGGTCCTCAACCAACGAGTGAAAATGTACTGCGTGTCCCTATCCCAGATGGTGATGCAAAGAGACACAAGGTTTATACTGGTTCAGGCAATAGGTGCCCTACGTCCAGTCTGGGAGAGCGATCTTGTATTCCTTGCACCGAGGTGCTCGTAGTAGGGGTTTACAAGCAGGGCGAGAGAGGGAGTTAGTCCCGGGTCTCTGCGTAGGGCGGCGTGGGTTGCTTGAGATGTTGATCTCTTGCAGTGAGGGAGCGTGCGTATTACAGAGTGTTGCTCGTTGCTTGCGTGTGTGTCTATCTGAGCGATGTCTCCATGAGTGTGTTGGGTGTGTGCTCCTCCTCCCCTAGGGGTGGCCCCGGTTACTCCCTTTTATAGTCGAAGGGAGGTACAGGGGCGGTACATGTGTTTGCTACGTGGTGCTCTTTTTTGGCAGAGCCGGCATGTCCGAACCCTGTAGCTTGTCACTATGGCGGTATGGTCGGTGGAGCGGTCTTATCCTCGGTGCACTGGAGTGACGCGCCGGTCACGCCCGTTCCTGTGGTGGCAGGAGCGCCTTCTTCTATCGGAGGCGAGCTGGTTACTGTAGGTTTGACTGGTGCGGAGTGCCGAGGCCGGGTTGATGCGATGGTGCGGGCGCGCTGATTCCGAGGCTACAATAGCTAGGCCTTGTGCGCGACGTGGGGGCTCCTGCAGCCTGACGCAGGGTATGGCGCGTTCTGCGGGCGACGTGCCGGTGCTAGAGTGTTGACAACGTAGAGAACCGAGGCCCAGTCGATGCAGAGGCTAAACCATCGTGGGGGGCTCGGCAGGCACAAGTCCCGAGGCTACAGGAGCCCAGAAGCGGATAGCCGAGGCTCGGAGGGAGTAGTTGGTCTTGTTCGTTGATTCTGAGGCTATAGGGACCTGTACTTGACTCTCAACACCGCGCTGTCCTTGGAGCAGTGGTTAGGCAGCACAGTGCAGTACGGGCGTCAGTC